TGTATGTATGTATGTATGTATGTATGTATGTATGTATGTATGTATGTATGTATGTATGTATGTATGTATGTATGTATGTATGTATGTATGTATGTATGTATGTATGTATGTATGTATGTATGTATGTATGTATGTAATGTATGTATGTATGTATGTATGTATGTATGTATGTATGTATGTATGTATGTATGTATGTATGTATGTATGTATGTATGTATGTATGTATGTATGTATGTATGTACGTATGTATGTATGTATGTATGTATGTATGTATGTATGTATGTATGTATGTATGTATGTATGTATGTAATGTAATGTATGTATGTATGTATGTATGTATGTATGTATGTATGTATGTATGTATGTATGTATGTATGTATGTATGTATGTATGTATGTATGTAATGTATGTATGTATGTATGTATGTATGTATGTATGTATGTATGTATGTATGTATGTATGTATGTATGTATGTAATGTATGTATGTATGTATGTATGTATGTATGTATGTATGTATGTATGTATGTATGTATGTATGTATGTATGTATGTATGTATGTATGTATGTATGTATGTATGTATGTATGTGTATGTATGTATGTATGTATGTATGTATGTATGTATGTATGTATGTATGTATGTATGTATGTATGTATGTATGTATGTATGTACTGTATGTATGTATGTATGTATGTATGTATGTATGTATGTATGTATGTATGTATGTATGTATGTAATGTATGTATGTATGTATGTATGTATGTATGTATGTATGTATGTATGTATGTATGTATGTATGTATGTATGTATGTGTAATGTAATGTAATGTAATGTAATGTAATGTAATGTAATGTAATGTAATGTAATGTAATGTAATGTAATATGTATGTATGTATGTATGTATGTATGTATGTATGTATGTATGTATGTATGTATGTATGTATGTATGTATGTATGTATGTATGTATGTATGTATGTATGTAATGTATGTATGTATGTATGTATGTATGTATGTATGTATGTATGTATGTATGTATGTAATGTATGTATGTATGTATGTATGTATGTATGTATGTATGTATGTATGTATGTATGTATGTATGTATGTATGTATGTATGTATGTATGTATGTATGTATGTATGTATGTATGTATGTATGTATGTATGTATGTATGTATGTATGTATGTATGTATGTATGTATGTATGTATGTATGTATGTATGTATGTATGTATGTATGTTGTTGTATGTATGTATGTATGTATGTATGTATGTATGTATGTATGTATGTATGTATGTATGTATGTATGTATGTATGTATGTATGTATGTATGTATGTATGTATGTATGTATGTATGTATGTATGTATGTATGTATGTATGTATGTAAGTAATGTATGTATGTATGTATGTATGTATGTAATGTAATGTAATGTAATGTAATGTAATGTAATGTAATGTAATGTAATGTAATGTAATGTAATGTAATGTAATGTAATGTAATGTAATGTAATGTAATGTAATGTAATGTAATGTGTAATGTAATGTGTATGTAATGTAATGTAATGTAATGTAATGTAATGTAATGTAATGTAATGTAATGTAATGTAATGTAATGTAATGTAATGGTATGTATGTATGTATGTATGTATGTATGTATGTATGTATGTATGTATGTATGTATGTATGTATGTATGTATGTTGTTGTATGTAATGTATGTATGTATGTATGTATGTATGTATGTATGTATGTATGTATGTATGTATGTATGTATGTATGTATGTATGTATGTATGTATGTATGTATGTATGTATGTATGTATGTATGTATGTATGTATGTAATGTATGTAATGTATGTAATGTTGTAATGTAATGTAATGTATGTATGTATGTATGTATGTATGTATGTATGTATGTATGTATGTATGTATGTATGTATGTATGTATGTATGTATGTATGTATGTATGTATGTATGTATGTATGTATGTATGTATGTATGTATGTATGTATGTATGTATGTATGTATGTATGTATGTATGTATGTTTATGTATGTATGTATGTATGTATGTATGTATGTATGTATGTATGTATGTATGTATGTATGTATGTATGTATGTATGTATGTATGTATGTAATGTATGTATGTATGTATGTATGTATGTATGTATGTATGTATGTATGTATGTATGTATGTATGTATGTATGTATGTATGTATGTATGTATGTATGTAATGTATGTATGTATGTATGTATGTATGTATGTATGTATGTATGTATGTATGTATGTATGTATGTATGTATGTATGTATGTATGTATGTATGTATGTAATGTATGTATGTATGTATGTATGTATGTATGTATGTATGTATGTATGTATGTATGTATGCATGTATGTATGTATGTATGTATGTATGTATGTATGTATGTATGTATGTATGTATGTATGTATGTATGTATGTATGTATGTATGTATGTATGTATGTATGTATGTATGTATGTATGTATGTAATGTATGTATGTATGTATGTAATGTAATGTAATGTATGTAATGTATGTATGTATGTAATGTAATGTAATGTATGGTAATGTAATAATGTAATGTAATGTAATGTAATGTAATGTAATGTAATGTAATGTAATGTAATGTAATGTAATGCATGTAATGTATGTACGTATGTATGTATGTGTGCATGCATGCATGCATGCATGCATGCATGCTTACATACATGTATGCATGTATGTATGTATGTAATGTATGTATGTATGTAATGTCATGTAATGTCATGTAATGTAATGTAATGTAATGTACTGTAATGTATGTATGTATGTATGTATCCTTGCACTTCCCCTTTGCTCCCCAGTATTTCCCGCAAAAAAAACACAGTTTTTTCCAGCGTTTTCGCAAAGAGGACGTCCAAAAACATTGAGTTTTTCCAGATTTTCGGCAAAAGGATGCAGGAAGCCCAAGCCAGCAAAAAAGCCGGCAGGGGGAATCGAGCCTGGGACCCCTGTTTTGCGACACCGGCTCCCCGAAGACTACGTTTAGTGGAACGTCATCAAATTGCCGCGCGGTACGTGGGGGACTCCCCCCCCCCTCCCCCCCCCCCCCCCCCAAAAACCTACGTAATAGACGTCGGGCGGGGGGGGGTTAGGGGGGGGGTTATCCTCTATCCTCTAGTAAGTATCCGACACGCCGAGCAATGTCGGCGGATAAATACTGGACCCTTTGGCTGTAACAGTGAGGGTCTTGGGGCAGTTTAGCGCTGTGAGCTAAGCTTAAAAGCAAAATGCTTGCTTCACGGCATCAACTTTAAGGGCAACTGATACATGTTGCGCTGAGTCGCATTAGCCAGAGAACCACAGTTGAAGAGTTGAAGCAACAAGTGAACTTGATCATCTAGGAGGCATGGTGAAACTGAACATACCCGAATTTGCAAAGTATTGTATATCATGCTTAATTAAAATGTTTCTTGTGTTGTTTGTAGATTGAAGCAATATTGGGCACTTGGCCCAAAGGCACAGATCTGTGGACAAATGCGGAATCACTCCCATCGCGCTGCTACAAAATCTGTCAAAGCTATCCTTCTCAATTTGTTGCGACAATATTTGTTCATTGAACTTATACCTTCTTGGACTCTACAGTCGTGAAAGTAGAGTGACATTACATGAACATGCGGTGAACTGCGCATGACACACTGTTTCAAGCCACTAGAAGACGAAGACCGGGTTTTGCCATAAAAACCGTTTGTGATGTGTGCCGCGCAAAGCACACCGCACACACTAGAAGAAACAACTCGAAATGTCTAACTCCTGTTTAAGTGATGTTGGTTCTTTGCATTGTCGCAGCGCCCTCCTAAACATCAGTTTGAGTTGTGGTGCACCAAGCCACCTGCTCGCTTCCAAAGGAAACACCTGACTTGGATGCTTTGCGACTCAGCAACACGCAACGGGGCAGCCTTCTCAACTTGTGCAACTCACAAATGTTTGTCTCACACATAAATGCAAGGCTAATAACGCGGCTTTTGTTTTCCCTTGTGTTGCGTTGGCATTCAAGCCGTTTTGGCCAAGGTCAAACTATGTTTGATGATTTATTTCATTCCAACATCAAAGGCATTGAGCAGCTGAGCTGAACCAGGAGGTTTGATAGCAAGGTCCGCGCCGCTGCTTGAATTGGCACTTGCATCTTGCAAGCAAGCCCTGCACAGTGAACAGCAACGCCCCAAAGAACACCGCTTATCGTGACAACACCGTTAAACAAATCCGCTGATGGACTTTCAGGGCTTTACTTGGCACAGAACTAAAAAAATGTGTTTTGTTCAAGAAAAGGTGTTTCGACAAAGAATGCCATTCTTTACATTTTGCCCCCAAAATTTGGTGGTTTGAGACTCCAGGTAGTCGCTTTCCCTTCGGGAACCCCCTTGGAGCCCGCTTCCATGATTGTTGGAAAGTGGGTAATACTGTGGATGGGTCACGAACTCCTGCACCACCTCTCTCCGACCCTGGAAGGATGATTCCCCTGTAAATCCCAATGAACACTGAGTTTCCAAGTGGTGCGAAATGGATTTCGTCCATCCACAGTAGGATCAAGCCCCAAACAAATAGGAATTCCAATCCTTTTTCTACCGGTGGCTTATACGCAACTTGCCACCCCTTGGAGCTCGTAAATGGGCCTGTGATATTGAGACCAGCTCTACAGGTTGCTAAATGTCAATGACTCATCCGCGACTTAGGTTTTGTAGATGTTCCAATTCAGGAATGCCCCATGACAGAAACTCACAAGGAATTTGATCTGCGAAGTGCAGGGCACTGGGCAGGAAAACACAACGCCAATGCGGGCCTTTTTGTGAGGTCTGTGTCAGGATAGCGGGGATCCTCAAAGTGGCTCTTTTTTGAGGTTGTTCTTCTTTTTTGGGGGGGCCAAGGGCGGGGGGCCTGGGGGGCTTTTGTCAGCTAAGCAGCCAACCCCAAACCGGGTGCCATCAAAAAGCGAGCGCCCAGGTGCCGGACATGAACAACATGGAGTTGACCAACTGCCTCTGGGCGTTGGCGACTTTGGAGGCGGAAGAAGGAGCTTTAGTGGAGCAGCTCCTTGCCCCTCGGCGCCGGTTTGGGGTGTCTGTGACTCGGCGTGTTGGATTCTTACCCCAGTGCACCTGGCCTTTTTGATCATGTCACGTTTTGCAGGTACAATAATTTCCAGGTATTTTCGTACGTTTGTGTGTGTGTGTGTTTTGACCTTGTTATTTGGCTTCAATCTTCACTTCCAAAGCCAGTGTGTATTTCAGGTAACCCTTCAGTGGCGGTTTGGATTTAGATTTGACCCCCCCTCCCCCACCAGCAACCACTGGACCACCCAGAAAAAAAAACCTTTGGATTTGACTCCGCCCCCCTCCCCCCGCTCATCACCGGGCTCCCAACAAGCGCTGACGCCATGGCGCGAGGCGGGCTGCGTGAAGTTCCTCTCCAGCTTCGAGCCCCGGAACTTGGCTTTGTCCGCCTGGGCGCTGGCGAAGATGGGCTGCGAGAAGAGCTGGCGCCGTGGACGGATTCGCCGCGATGTCGTCGCGAGTTCGAGCCATGTGCTCCGATGAGCTGGGGAAAAGGAGCTCAAACCTTAGCTGAACCAATCTGAGAGAGGCAGAAGCAGGTGCTGTTCACCATGAAAAAGACATCCAGTTCTTAATTCAGCTTTTGTAATTGTAGTAAGATTTGCAGAATGGAATCGCTGGGCTTGGATGGCTCCCGTTTTCCTGACGGGTCCAAGCATCGGACGCTGAACGGTTGAGCAAACCCTGCAGTCCCAAGACTCTCCTGTTTTAGGGTGCCTTCTTTATCAGACTATGGACCTTTGGGATGGGTCACTATTGGAAAATTCACCAAAAGGAGGGGTCCGAGTTTTAGGGTTCAGGGCTGCTGGGGATACGACCTCGGCTCATTTTGAGAAACATGGGTGTGCTTGTTTGTTTTTGAGTTGGTACCTTCTTTATGTGGTGTTTAAGCGAAAGAAAAAGGAAACCCGAAGCCAGCTTGCGTGTGGACGGCGGCTGGTTCATGGTATGTAGCTTGATGATGGTGTGTTTGTGTGTGTGTGGTCTGTTTGTTTGTGTGTACTGTTGTCTTTTGTTATCCTCCATGTTAGCTTTTGGATTGTAAGGGTCCCTTAAAGGGCACATTCGGACCACTTAAAAGACCACCCAAAAACCAGTTTTTTTAATGAAGGCTGGTGGTTTGGGGATGTGGGGCCGAATTGTTCATAGGGGTAACTCACCGGGTCCCACGGTCCCACAAAGGATGCATTCGGGCCTACAAATCGGGGATTTCCTCGAACAGGTGTTCTGTGGATGCATCCTTAAACTCAAACAAACATGCAAAGATCACACGAACCACAATAGCAATCGTTAAGACAAAGCATGTTCATACCACGCCACTGGTGACAAGTAAAGGCTCTGGAGCAGCCTGGTAGAATCAAACGCCAAGCCTCGGACTTCTTCTTGGGTGGTTGTCTCAAAGGAAGCCCACCAGCAAGGGAAGCCCTCTTGACTGCTTTTTTGTTTTTAGGAAATCAATCAGTTTTCCACTAACCCAAAAAGTTAAACTTTGCAGGGGGGTCAACAGCAACCAAGGGACAATCAGGGGGAAGCATGGGACATATTGAACAGTTCCTGTAGCCCCACCCGCGGACTGCAAACGGCTCCCAGTACATTTGGTTTCCAGTTTGTAGCCACCAGCATCTTCTTTTGCCTATGACTCAACTCCGCACGAATTCCTGAAGTGTGCTGGATGTACTCGCTTGAACTGGTAAGCAGCTGATTGTTTGTGTCCGAGCCGGGGGGTTTGATTCCCCCATTTTTGCCAGACTTTCAGCGGAAGGGTGCAGTTGGGCAACCACAATGTAGTCATTTTCCCCAACGTGCAGAAACAACTTGTTCAAGGCGCCCGGACCTGCCTGACAAGTTCAAGTCACTTTCAATGGATCTGAGAAAAACATGGAAGCATGGACTGGATGGGATCTGCGGGATAGCACTTGAGAGACAGAGAGAGATGGACTGGATGGGAAGCTGTGGGACGACTAGCCAACCATCTCCAATACCTGCTTTGTCGGGGGAAGATCTTCTGAGTGGTGAGTTGCAAGTTTAGTTTGTTGCCAATCCACCCAGCAAGTTCATTTTGTTTGGCAGACGCTGCTTTTTCTCATCCTCAACCCCAGTCGGATGCTTTTGCGCAGTGATCGTGAACACACCTATGTTGCATCAGCTGTTTCAGGTTATTGCATAAAAAGGTGAAACAACCCCTGAACACCTCCAAACCCCACTCCAAACCACCAAACATGGTGAAGTTGATTGGTTGCTTCTAGAAGTTCCCATGCCGATTCAATCGACTCGGCGAATCGAATCGAGGTGCAGGTTCTGGGCAGAGGAGGTGGGGTCCCGGCTGAGTAGCTTCGAGACACGGGACATGACCAACGTGATTTGGGCCTTCGCCGCTCTGACGAAGATGAGGCGGCGAAACAAACAGTCGGCAGGTTGTCTGGTAGGTTTCCCTGGGTACCGGGCCTCAAAAAGCACAAGGCCATAGGGAACCCCCCCCAAAAGCACACAAGGCCATAGGGGAATTCTGCTTGGAAGTGGGTGATTCACATAAATCCCAACCTCAATGCAACAAATGGTGTTAAGGTTTGGACCCAAGGCAGACATCCCAGTTCGCCGTTGGGAAATCAGCCAGAAAGAGCAGGGACAGGGACCAAATGGCTTGAAACAGATAAAACGGGCTCGGGCGTCATGATGAAGGATATGTGGGAAAGGAGTTGTGTGGTTGGTCGCAGTGTGGTGGCTCAAGACTAGTCATTCGGATACAAAACGCCAAATATATTACATGTGCATATTATTGTCTACAGTACCTTGAAGGTATTTTGAGCGCGCCGGCAGTGTTTTATGTCTGGATAGGCAGTCGTTTTACTTTTAGTTTCCCTTTGAGATCATCCAAGAAAGCATCACCTAGAATGAGACAGACCCAGATGGGAAGAGCAGCAGGTTCCTTGGCGCGTGCGGATATAAACGGCGAACACCCGAGCACGGGCTCAGGCTACGGTTCACAGCCGGGACGAGCGCTTCCTCACTCGTTTCTGTCAGGACAGCGACACATGGTTGACTAGTGCTTCCAGAATGCAGCCCCCCGATCTTGGCTGGTCTTTGTGACCGATTCCCCCCATGGCCGTTCCGCTAAACCTAGAAAACGTTAGACTCTTTACTCACACAGGAAAGGGAAGAGCCACCCGGGGCTTCCTTGTCCCATGTTCAAATATCGCAAGTGCCGTTCCAACAAGAGCGTGTACTTGCATCCTTGGCAACCCCATGGGGGTCCGGGGAAGATACCACCCGTGAGTTCTGGCAATTCCTGAAGATGAGCGTGTTCGCATTTGTTTGTTTTGTCTAAAACTTCAAAAAACAAAACAAAAAAAACGGGCCACACTCTGTATCACCTTTTTTTTTCTGGATTCGAAATCAATCCCCAACGCTTCTCGAGGGTTCCCCCTTGTGTCATGGATTCGGATGAGGGATTTGCCCCAATTTGGAGCATGGGGACCTTCCAGTGGCCCTTCAGGAGATCGAAGCGAAGGCCGACAACTACTCGCCGCCCATGGCTTAGATAGTGTCAGCTCGTTGGTTAGTAACCCTAGTCAGAGAAAACGAGGGACTGGGGAGAATCTCAGGGTGACTGAGCACTTTAACTGCTACCGCTGCTACCATCTGATGTGGACATATTAATCAACCCCAGTTTATGAATAGGCTGTGACCCCTTCCTTCAGCCCGATTTGGGGCGTGGGCATGGGGCTGAGGACTACATTCCCGAAGTGCCCCGAAGTGCAGGCGGATTGACCCCATAGACGTCAACATGCGGGCTTGTAATTAAACGTATGCGTGTGCTTGAATTGTTGTTACAGCATTCTGGTTTGTCTCCAGATACCCTGGGGTTCCAAAGGCGGTTTATTTTGCATGTTTTGTGTGAAAGGTGTTTTTTTTTTTGCCAGGAGTAGTTTTGTTCAAGCTCAGCTGATATCACGTGCTCAGGACCAAAGTGTGCAAAGACTTGACCTCTGTTCCCACAAAACAAGCGGAGGGATTACCAAAGGACAGGCTGAAACACATCGATTAACCGGTGTCAAAATTCACGGCAGAAAACGTGCTTTCACGCTGGAAAACAGGCTTTCACGCCAATTTCACGGGGTATTTTCACGGTGTTTTCACTCTACTTTTGCGTACATCACGGACCGCTATGTTCACACCAAAATTGTTGTGTCAAGATGTTGGGGTGGAACAGGCTTTGTAGAATCTTAAACGTGGCAACAGTATGAATAATCCATCAAATACCACGCCATGGCTCATTGCAGGCGCAAAAAAAACAGGCTTTAGCTGCAAAAAAACAGGGGAGGTGCAAAGGACGTTTAAAAAAAACAGTCGTGGATTTCCAGGGGATAGTTTCTCCACGGATTCGGTTTCCTTGTCAGGAATGGTTCAAATAATGTCCTTTCTGCTGGAAACACAATTTAAATCAACCCAGCGGGGACATGTGGAAACGAGGGTTCCTTCAAGGATACATTTCTTCATGGCTACTTGGTAACGGATTTTTGGGCTTTGAACGTTTGGGAAGTGGGTTTTGCGGTGGACCCACAAAGTGATTACTTTCTGCGGAGGGGTCAGCAGCAACCAAGATTTGCGCCAGCTACATCATCACTGTTCAAACCAGTTGGTTTAGATCAAAGGGAATGCCCTAAAGCTACGTGCGTTCGAACTTTCATTGGTTGTTTTCGTTTAGCTGGAACTTGAAGATCTAGCAACGCAGGATGTTTTACAGGTGACACCCTTGTGTGGGTATTCAAGGCAAAATGTGGTTGTCTGATTTTCTGCTGCAGCGCCCCCCTCCACGGGTCTGGTGTCAAGATCCCGAGGCAGGACATCGGCAACACGCTCTGGGCTTTGGCCGCCCTCTCCTGGCGCAACGACGCGGCCCTGGGCAGGGGGCCCCGGAAAAACGGAAGCGGAGCCGGCGGCGGAGAAAAAAAACACAAAAAACGCCGGGTCCACCGTTTGATGTCCCCGAACTCCGGGGGGAAAAATGTGGGAGTTGGAAGGGTTGGTGTGGCCCAACCCGGGAAAATTGAGTCTTTTTGGCTGCGCGTGTTCCTGCTGGTCGCTGGCCAGTGCAATTCGGCCGTTCTTGCTCGTTTGGAGGTTCAAAAAGCGTTTATATGCGATTTGAGACTGGCAGTTCAGGAGGAGTGGGCATGTGGTACCAGCCTTGGGCTGCCTCAAGTGGTAGAAAACGTCAAAAAGCACTGCAGCACTGTCCAGTATTAATCAAGCAGGGGTTCTACTCAGATCTGGGGTTCCCATGTGGGCTGAACCCAAAGTTTCGGACGCCTGATATAGGATCCACCCCCCGCCCGTTTCGCCGAGGCCTAAGTCCTCAGCAGGCAAGTTGTCTCTTGGGGAGGGAGTGGTAACCCCTGATGACTTGGTGGCTCCCAGCCATCCCCAGTCTTCCCACCACCTTGCATCCCAAGACGATCAGCCCATACTGTGGATGGTTGCAAAATCCCTTGACATTACGAAATGGGTTGAAACCATGTTTTGCTGGTATTTACTGGTTTTTTAGGCGGTGCAGTTTTCGTCCAATCACAGTAGGACCCAAAGACCGCAAGAAGGAATTGGTCTTGGGATTCTAAACCTACCTGAGATTCCCCAAAAAATGCATGGCCTTGAGGAGCAATCAGCAAGCGATGCTTCGATACTGCGGTGACCTTTGACCAGCAGAGACTCGCCAGGAAATGTTAAGCTTGCCAAGCAGATTCGGGGCCTCCCCCTCTTGGAGGCCCCAAAGGGTTGATTTAAACTTTATGCTGAATCTCCGGAGCCTAAGGTGATTCACCACATATCGCCCCGGATGCCCACGAAAATTCTTACAAGGGAAGAAGTTGGAGTCTCCAAGGTAAGTTCAAGCATGGCTTCTGCTTGGTTTACTTGCATCTTCACCGCGAGTTTGGGCAAAACCGCCCGTCAAGCTTGGATTTCTCCGGGCACCCGTCCCGGATCTCGGGCTTAGGAACCTGTCCATCTCCCTCTGGAGCTATGCCACCCTGGGCTACAAGACCATGTCCCTTGGACCAGCTCGGTGCACCACTCTTGTGACCACAAAATCCGCTTTTCAAGGAAAGGGCCCCACTGCCCCACTGCAAAGCGACCCTTTGAAGGAGTGAAGCCGGCCCACAAAGTGAACGAGGATCAACCAGCTATGGATAAGGTGTATGTGTGGGGGTCTTTCTGGAGGAAACCTTTGAAGCGAGTGGGTGGCTCCCGAAAAAGGACAGCCTAAAAGATGATGCCATGATGGATCCGCGCGGTTTCAGCAAGCCTAGCTTTGTGCTGCATCACTTGACGCAAGGGCAGGGTTGCAATCGACCAGACAAATAGGCTTCTGAAGGGAATATACCCGTTTTAACTGAGGGACTTCCGAATTAAAGATCAACGGGTTTCAATTCTAGTTCAGGGTTGAATGTCTCGAGGGAAGCTCAATCAACATCGGCAACACTATGTTTGAGCCGAAGACTTGCCGCGTTTCTCCAGGGCGGAAAAGCAGAGCGATGGATCGGTTGGCCAAAGAGAAACAGTGGGTGCCGTCTGAGAGTAAGAACATTGAATGCGGCAGCACCAGAAGCGATGGTACATGAACACGACTACAGCAAAGCAGGGGACTTATGTCATGCGGCACTTTGCCATTGACTGAGGAATCTGTTCCACCACATGACCCAGATCATCACGGAGCGAATCAAGACCTTTGCCTCACAAGGCATCGCAAATGTGGTGTGGGCCTTGGCCAAGTTTCAGTTCCAACAGAGCCTCGGCAGCTTCGGCAGTCGTTGCGATGGGTTCTCAATCTCGGCACATGACTTCTCGAGCTCCGATTCGAAGGGGAACATTGGCTTGCCCCTTCGGCCTTTTCCTGTGTACCCAGAGGCTTCCGAGGCTTTCACCCCGCAGGTGTTTGGGGTCTCAAAACCTGGTTGTTTGAGGGCCCTGAATCAATCGGGAGCGTCTGGGTAGGATAGATCCCTCTGTTTTGGTTGCTGCTTACGGCCAGGCAGGAAGGCTACCCTACCGGATGAAAAACCACAAGGGTTCCTGACATGTCCAAGGGTATCGGAGCTTCCAGGGGTTGTCTCAAAATGTGTCAACTTGCAAGCTTGCAGATGGTTCCTATTTAGCTTTCGTTGAGCTTGGATACTGGAAACTAAAGATTAATGCCCTGGTTTAATCACATTTTTGAGGGCAGCTGAATGTTTTTGTGGAAGACCCCCTGATAACCCATCAGGTTAATTGATCCGGGAGCATTACCATATGGGCGCGTGGTTTTTTGAGGGCGCCCTTTTTAGGGCTGGTTGGATGGGACACGAAAAATAAAGCTACTATTTGGGGGGATCCCTGCATGTTGGCACATACTGCATTTATATCCATACCAACCTGAAGAAATGACATCCATGTTGCTCCCAAGGAGACCCGATTGTTGTGATGTCTTTCTCCCCTCAAACGCCAGCCTCAGGTTGGCAATCCCAAAGAGACCCACCACATGTCCCCATGCCGGCTCAGGAAATGCCTCCTGATGACCATTGCCGAGGCGACGGGCCCAAAATGGGTCTCCTCGAACGATAAGCGTTGAGGGTTGGCTAGGCTGTAAAGCTTGGCACAACTTCCGGGGGTCAATGAAGGGGATGACTCGCAGAAATGTGGGAAGTCTGCCATCTACTTGTACGCAGCTCCATATTTTGCCCAGTGTTCCCAGGTCCCGGAGTAGCAGGTATCAGTCTTTTACCCTTACGTTCTAGCTGGCAGCGCTGGGTTAGGCTTGGCTAAGTAAGAAATGTTAAAAATCCGAAGTGTCCGAAAAGCATCCATTGAGGGTTGGGCTGGGAAAAAGCAGCCCTTGGGTGCTGGCAAAGGACGGTAGGTTGATTTCCTCCAATATGTTGTCACCCCTGAAGGGGTCAACCACCATGAATTGTAAGCAAGGCTCGGCCTGTTCACTGGTTGGTTCCCTTTTGCTGCAACGAAAGGTTTTTTGATTTGACGTTCACGTCTTTTGGGCAAGTCAGTTTAGTGGGCTAAATGGAAAACCCCACTAAACTCTAAACAACTAAAAAGCTAAGGGGACGGCTGGGAGCCACCAAGACATATCAGAATTTCTACCAAGCCTCAGATTTCGACAGCCCATAGAGCAGACCGGCCGATGAGTTCCCACTCAGTTACTGCTTCAAATGGCAGGGCACTTGGTAGGTTGCAAACAAAAATATGGCTATAAGCTCTTTAAGCAACTTGGGAGAGTTACAACCACAAAGTGGTTGTGAACTGCTACCTACTAAGTACCCTGCGCTCTAAAGTATGGCCTGTTTGCCATCGGCTGATTTCCTAGTTACTCCTCTGCAGACTGTGCATGGAACCGAACAAGAGGTTCCACAGAGATTGTTCTGAAAAAACTGGTGGTCCCATGTGAACCCAAAGAAGAGCTTCCCTCAAAAACAAGTTGGTGGTTTGGATTGGCGGTTGGATTGAAGGAAGTGGCTTCCCATTTTGACCTCTAGAATAGCCAGGTCAAATCTCCAAACCGGGCTCCAAACCACCACTCACTTGCCCAAAGGACTCAGTTGTCTTTGGTTCAGTAAGGGACATGGGGGGAACTCCTGCAGGAAGCTCCACCTCGGCTGGACGAGTTCGACCCGTATCTCACCTATGGACTTCCACGCCCAGAACCAGAGGTAGTGTTTTCTTCTTCTTTTTTGTTTTTCTGGGGTCTCATTCCATTTGTTCTTTCCTGGTTTCGGGCTGACAACATATTATCCAGAAGCTTGTTTTCCGTATATACCCCAGATGTAGGCCCAGCTTGGCTTGATGCTTTTGGCCGAAACCGCCTTGTTTTGCGAAGGCTTGGAATTTGTGTTCCAAGCCTTTGAAACCTGATTCTGATTCGGTTCCCTGTGGTTGCCGATGGGCTCGGGATTTTTGTTTGCCAGAGGCTTGAGCGGCTTGAGAAGAGGCAACTGCCTTCGGTTTCAAACAGGAACCCTTAAAATGGTTGGTTTCCTGCGGGGAAAGGCAGAGGAAGGGGGGTTTGCTTGGTAACCTGGTAGCCCTTTGTGAGTGGTGTTTTGATTGGTTTGGGGGTTTGTTATAGAGGGTGAATTGTGAAATCACCCCAGAAACCCCTCAAGGGATCCCAATGAGTGTTTCTAACGGTGGGCCTCGGCAGGGAACCCAAAAGAAAGCCAAGGATTCGAGATTCTCGGGCCAAAAGGGTCGATCCAGGTTCATTTCCTTTTGGTTTCCTTCAAAACCCCCACTTCAGGGTGGTACTCCATTTTTGAGACCCCCATGTTACATCAAACGCAACGGCCACTCAAAACCCCCTCTTCAGGGTGGTACTCCATGTTTACATCAAACACCAGCAACGGCCACTGAGCGGCTGAGGCAGCATCTCTCCATCGTGGCCTGGGCCTATGCCACTTTGGAGTTCCCCAACCGGCCGCTGCTCACAGCGCTCTGCCACGCGGCGGTGCGGAAGACCCTCAGACGCAAGCGCTTGAATTGGCGACGGGGGTAGTGGGGAGTGGCGCGCTTCTCCGAGTCCCGCGACCATGTGAGGCTGAACTGACTTGGCGCGTGGCATGTGTTTGGCGGAGGGCTTGTTGCTATTTGGGATGGTGCTTCTAGTTTTTTGCTGCTCGCAAGACCCTACGCATGCAGTTGCCTCCACTGCAACTCCGCATGGACCCCCCTAAAAGCAAAAATAAGTCACCATGTTCTGAGGACTTGGTTTGAGGATAGCTTTCCTTCGGTTTAATTTGCGAGGGCTTAGACCATGGGAGTTGCAAGCACCGCCTTCGATCGAGGATGCATATCTTCAGCGCCCAGCACATGGCGAACATGACCTGGGCCATGGCTACGCTAGCACACAAGGAGGGGAATGCGGGAAGCTTGTTGGGGAGCAAGCCAGTTAGGGCCCCTTCCCCTCACTGTAGCGCGGATAGAACATGTGTTGGTCAAGTTAGTATGGTTGAAACTAGTCGTATTCCACACTGTTGTTTTTAGTATGTGCGGTGCTATCTACTTTGTTTAACGAACCCGGCTTTCACTACCAAAACCGCTACTCTCCATGGGAACACTTGGATGCAACCATGTCAATTTCTCAGTGGTTCATGGCATGGCCTTTGCGCCCTGACGGAAACAAAAGCATTTAGGCGGGTTTCGAAGCCACTGAACATGAGGTTTGGTCTAAATTTCTAGTAGTCCGTGTGGTTCATGTGGGAGGGACGTTGGGGAACTGACTAAGTTTCAGCCACAACCAGGTGACGAGCCCCAATTTCCCCATGCCCTCTTGAGGAGCAAGTCATGTTGACCTGGAAGCTACAAGGAACATATCGCCAATTCCGGGGGACCCACCCAAAATGTTTGCCAAAAAGGGTCCAGGATCCTGGTACGAAAAGCTGGGACACGTGTTTACAGTTGCAGAGTACAGCTTAGGCAAGCGTTCACTCCGTTGTTGTTGTTTTTTTGGGGGGGAGGCGAGGGGGGGGGGGGCGCAGCGAGTAGGAGCCAGATGGTTAGCACCACCAACACTGTATGGCCCACCTTAGCTTCAGTTGGTTTGTCAGAGCAACGGCGAACACTTTGCAGTATGGGATTGTTCCAAGGGTACCTTCCCCATTCTTTCCAAGCATCCTTCTTTCTAAAAAACCACCCAAAACCCTGGGGAAACAGCTGGTTATTGAAAATAACGAAGGTTGAAAATAATGGAAAAGTAATCAACCCCTAGAAGAACCAGTGAACCAGCAAACCCCTACGACCAAAACAACCGAGTACGACGGTCAAAACCAATGGTACCATTTTGGGGTAGGTGCACCACCCATTTTAGTCTATTTTAGTGGGGATTGGGAAGTCCCCTAGAATAGTTATTTGTGCAGTTCTGCAAGTGCAGCTTGATGGCCGGGAAGGCCCATACTCTCGCTTTCATGTTTCGTCACGTTTTGGAGGGTTCTCACCTTGCTTGTGGCGCATTGTGACGGCCTGCCTGCCTTTCTCCCTTCCCTCAAGTGCTGCTTTTGGGGACGCTACCGCGCGGACATGGCCAACATCGACGTCCGTTTTTGGGCAAATTGTGGTGCCAGGACGAGCGATATTTGCAGATCCTCGCCGAGAGGGCCTTAGAGGAGGCGGACTGCTTGCTGGTTCCAGAGATGCAGGGAATGAGCGGGAATGACCCCGAAAGTAAGAAACCATCCCCCCATGGCTTCCTTTAAGGGAATCCCCAAAAAATATGTTTTGCATGGTTTCCTGAATAAGGGAATCCCCTTCTGGTTCATTCCCAAACCCTGATACATTCCCTGCGGAGCACCAATAAGTTTTCGATTCCAAAGAAAAATAGTTGGGAACTACTGTGGATGCCCTTACATATTGCAAATCCAACTACACGCAGCCGAAAGGTTGCAAAGCCATTGCAGTTTGCAATAGCCGCGGCGATTCTTTGCTCCCTTAATTGCAATTGCAATTGCAATTTATCGGGCGTCCATTGTACCTGGGCAAAGAGCGCTCCTATTGTTGTTGTTTTTTTACTCACCTGACAACACAGCTGGTTCCAAATCCCAGTTGGTTCCAGAACAGATAATTCCTAGCCACATGGGACCCCACATGGTTTTGCCATAAGGGTCCCTTTCAGAGACAAATTCTGGGGTCTAGTTCACTGCCATGGTGGCCCGGCAAGAAGGTTCTTCAATCCACTTCAGAGTCCCCGCGCACACAGCATACGATCCAATGACGGCGATTCCATGGCGTCGGCTTCAAGCCTGTGGCTTTGAATTGGAGTTCGGGTTGCGCGTTGGAAGGGAAAGCCACACAAAAAAGAAGAAGAAGAGGAAACCACTGTACCCCATGTGGCCTCCTCAAAGAAGATGCGTTTGGAATACTTAACACCTCATCCAAATTACATATGCGACACGAGGCCCATATTTTCGGCATGGATGTGTATCCCGCCCATGAACATTCCGAGCCCTTTGGAAAGACGAAGTCATTGGAACTCTCGACTGGCTTCAGCCGGGCTCGCGCAGGTGGGATCCTTCAACCCCCAGGAGTGCTCCAACTTGGTCTCTTGGCTGTGCGTTGGACGAAATCCACTTCTCGCCTTTCCCTTTTGGTCAGCAACAAGTATGCAGGCTGACGGGAAATTATCAACATCTCGACACTTTGTTGGGGAAGACAATTTGGGTGCCCGGCATATTATATATATATATATATATGCCGGGCACCCAAATTGTTTCATTATAAACATATATAGTGTACCCTGCATGTACCCAGCATGTATTCTTGGGCATTTGCGAGTGACGCGAGGGTTGCGGTAGCCCCTTATGTTGGAACGCTTAAGCATGCTGGCACCAACAATCAATAAGCACCAACACCGCGAAGCACCGCCAAGCAGCTACCATCTCCGAGAAGTACCCCACACATTGCTGGTGCTCAGTAGGGAATGACCCTGGGTGTTGGGAATGAACCAGAAGGGGATTCCCTCAAATGAAGCCATGGGGCGCTGGTTTCTTTCGGGGTCATTCCAACTCATTCCCTGCATTTCTGGAACCAGCAAGCCCTCCGCCTCCTCTAAGGCCCCCTCAACGAGGATCTTCAAATCTCGCTCGTCCTGGCACCAAATTCGCCAAAGGACGCCTTTTTGTTGGCCGTTTTCCGCGTCTAAAAAGTCCCAAGCACTGTCCTGTCGAGCCAGCAAGAAAAACCGCCGAGCGCAAGGTTTGGGCCTTTGCATTGCTCACCTTCCGCCACGACACGCTGCTGTCCGCCTTGTCCCGGCGGTCCCAGGAGATCGTCGCCGCGCCCCGGCGATGGCGGGCCCCCGTGGGGTACCCGTCCAGGGGGCCCAACAAGGGGATGACGTGTGCAAGTGGTGAATACACTCCGTTCAAGAAATACAAAGTGGGGTCAATCCCACTTAGACGCACCAAGTGATGTTAAACAACCATCGCCAAGTGCCATCAAAGTGGGGATCCTGTTTGCTGCTTGGTCCCCTTTTAGAATGGGGGCCAGCGCACCCCCAAGGGCTGCCACAAACAAACATGAAAAAAAGCTGCAGTGCAAACCTTACACTCGGCCCCCGTTCCAAGTGTCGGGATAGTTTTCAGGCACTTCCCCACAAAAGGCAGTACCTGCGAGCCTCTGCCCAGATTCCTGAATATTCTCCCTGAAATGGGGCATGGGGCACCGCTCCCTGAAATTCCCTATGAGGGAAACCTGGCGTTTGATCCTGCCAGATGCCTCTAGGCTTGTGACTTTCCGACAACAATCCCTTTGAAAGAATGAGGGATACACAACTAGACTCATTTTCTTTTGGTCCAGGGGCAGGGTTATGTCAGGCAAGTGGCTTGTAATCATAGACCACGTTGAGATAACCATCGATGTGAGTTATGACCCACTGTCCATGGCTGCAAGTCTCCTAAGTAAGTCATAAATATAGTTTCACATCACTTACCCGAGCTACCTGATCGCTGCTTGCAAGTTGGTCTCCATTGAAACTCCGGGGAGCTGTTCAATTGAGCCAACGTTTGGTACCATCTTACTTGCTTGCTCCTTGAGTCCCCAACGTTAAACAGATTGTAGAAATGATTTGAATCTTGACCTAGCAGCTACCCCAATTCTAGGCCAGCAATTTTCCTGTTGGTTTTGAGAGGGTTCCCGGTTATCTACTATAAATAATTGCCAGACTTAGCTTACCTTTCTTAACTTTGGGTTCCATCATCTTACTTTTGAACCAGCTACAAGTTCAACTTTTTGCTGATGGTCCTAGGTTCCAAGTCTGGCTAAGGTATGAGGTGTAACGAGAGCCCTTTCAGGACATCCTGACACTCAAAACCGCTGACAAGGAGTTCATTTCCAGGATGTCCATAAATGGACCCGCATTTTGGTTGCGACAGTTCGGATTTAAAGTTTTCCATCGGCCCCCCAAGAGTTGGTCACTTTTTGCGTCGCTTTTCGCATCGCAACCAAGCTTTGTGCCGGGTTTTGATTTGACACAAGTGGCTGTGGCTCAAAAAACCGGTACCAAAATGGAACCCTGGTAAGTGGAAACATGGACCAAAACCTGCGTAACCCCTCCTGGTCAATTTTGAGCCACACCCAAATGGACCCACTGAGCCAAGGAGTTCATCCCGCAGAACTTGGGGAACACCGCCTGGGCCTACAACCGCCTGGGCTACCGCGACGAGCGGCTGATGCAGTGCCTGGTCCGGGAGGCCGCTGGCAGGTTGCACGCAGCTCGGAGTCGGAAAGCAACGCGAACTCAACCCGCCGGGGCGGAGGGGTCTGGGTCCAAAAATGAAGCCACCAGGAATTGGGCCGCAGGTTTGAATGTCCTTGGTTTCATTTACCAGGGTTCCATGTTGGGTACCTTTTTTCGACCCACGGGGCCTCACCCTTACTTGGAACATCTTGGAACGAAGGTGTCTCAATCAATTCCCGGGTCCAGAATGGGCTGCCAAAGTCAGTTCATTGCCTTTTAAGCTGTACTTTTTTCAACATGCTGAGCAATGCTCGCGTTCTTTTTCAGTCTTTCCCACGGCGGGTGCTCAACATTGGAAGGGGGGTGCTCGGCTTTAATCTGGCCCAGCGCATTGCAGGGTGCTTCACATGCCACAGCCCTTGCAGACGACATTGAGAAGCGCCAAGGCATGGAGAGACAAGATGCCCAACCCTCAATTTTGCATTTTTCTTGTAAAGGGGGGATATGGGGTCAGGGGCGCATGATTGCTTGCAAAGACCTCAACCCTTCCGCTTCGGCGTTGTCCTTTTATGGACAAGACAGACAGCACACAAATCCAACCAACCAACAAGCAAACAATCACCCAAACGAACAGTCAGGAAAATCAGCAAATAAACAATACAAACACACAATGAACAG